AAAAAAACTAATAATAATAATAATAATTATTATTATTATTACTATTATTATTATTATTATTATTATTATTATTATTAATTATTATTACTATTATTATTAATAATAATAATTATTATTACCATTCAGTGTTAACGTCACTTTTTCGTTTTGTTGCAGAAATTTTAAAAACTTCAGGTACGAAAATTAGGACTTTTCGAAGCAAATAATACTTTTTACTTTCGTAAAATATGTGAAGCAATTGGCTTATTATCATTAGCAATATTTTTGCAACTACAAGAGCGATTCATTTTATCAGCATTGATATTAGGATTAGCTTGGCAGCAATTGGGATGGTTGATTCATGAATATGCACATCATCAACATTTCAAGGTAATCCCTATTTATGGTACTATTCAATTCGTTATGAAATTAACATTTGAAGAATTCATGAATTACAAATAAAAAATTATAAATGGATTCCTAGTTTACTAACGTTAAATTATCATAACCATCATGATGGTATATTTAAAATTTTATAATTAAATGAAAATTTAAAGAACCATTATTGGAATGATTTGACATCATATATTGTTGGAAATTTACTACAAGGTTTCTCAAGTGGTGGTTGGAAAGAACAACATAATATGCATCATGCAGCAACAAATGTTATTGGACGTGATGGTGACATTAATTTATTACCATTTTGGGCTGTTGTACCATCAGATTTGCAAGTAAGTATATTTAGAACAATACATACATGCAGTCATTTTGTGATAATCATACGATCCAAAATCGGATCTTATGATAATTCTTCCTGAAATGGTACCATTTTAACCTGTTCCAAAGATATCCCTTTGATACGTTTAATTATTTTTACAACTTATTAATTTATTATCAATTTTCAGCAAATGCAAGGAAGTTGGATACTAAAAATTATACCATATCAGCATATTTATTGGACGATAGCTTTTCCATTCTTACGAATTTCATGGCTTTTGCAATCCATCATTTTTGTTGCAAATATGTCAAATAGTTGTTTTGAGGTAATTTAATTTATTTAAAAACATTAACCAGTTAAATTCAAAATTTTTTTAAAAAAAAAAAATCTAAATAAGACATTATGATTGCAGATTCATAGGAAAAGAGCAACAATTGAACGTTTAGCGCTATTATTACATTGGTGCATGATACTCCTTCAGCTTTATTACTTACCAACATTTCAAATACGATTAATTTATTTCTTCATATCGCAATTATTTGCGGGATTTCTTTTGGCTCATGTTGTTACATACAATCATTATTCCACTCAAAAATTCAAACGTAAGTAATTTGTTAATAAATGAACAAATATTATTTGAGCAATTAATAATTTAAAAACTTATCGATCAAATATTTACAGATGATGATTTAATTTTAAACAGTTATGTTTGTTTGCAACTTCATACTACCAGAAATATGCGGCCAGGAATTTTAATTGATTGGTTATGGGGTGGATTAAATTATCAAATTGAACATCATTTATTTCCATCTATGCCAAGGCATAATTTAAAAACGGTTTGCCTTTCTTTTTTTTTTTTTTCTTTTTTTTTTTTTTTTTTAATTTCTTCTTTTC